CAACAATTTGCACACTCAGTAAGTGGTGGGACGGGGGGTTTAACTAGACACTTAAGAAGTGCTCACAAAGATTTATGGATACAAGCTAACATAGAAGCCGGAAAAATTATAGATCCTACCATCAGTTCTGGAACTCCTAGTGGATCTGGTTCTAATCAAATTCAACAACAACTTGACCCTGCTTCTGGTCATGTTTTACGCAAATATAACAAAGATAGAGATCGTGAGAACTTAGCAAAAATGGTGGCTGTCTGTGGCTTACCTTTTACTTTTCCTTGTCACCCTGCTTTTGTGCATTATATACAAGAAACTTATAACCCTGCTTTTCAAGGTTTTCCTAAGACCACGGTTAGAAATGATGTTTTTAAATTTCAAACTGAATATCTTCAGTATATTCGTTGTGTATTTTTTCACTTAGATTGTAAAGTGTCTATCACATCTGATATAGGTCGTAGTCCTAATGGTTGTGATTATTTAACTGTTACATGTCATTGGGTTGATCATCACTGGAACTTGCAAAAACGTATTATTGGTTATAAATTTGTTGATTCAAAACACACTGGAGCATATATTGCAACTACTGTTCTACAAATACTTGATTTTTATGGACTTGTTAATAAAGTTCTAACTATCACCTTAGATAATGTGTCTGCTAACACAACCGCGGCAAATAGCTTAAAATCTAGACTTTGTCCAATTAATCCAATAATTTTTCATGTTAGATGTGCATGCCATATTTTTAACTTGGTTGTAAAAGATGGTCTTAATTTATTTTCTGATGCTTGTAGTAAAATACAACATGCTTGTGGCTATATTTTTCGTGCTCATAAACAAAGTAGAATTCGTGAATTTGCTCAACAATGTGCTAGTGCTGGCCTTCCATTTAGAAAAGTTCCAAAAGATGTTTGTACTAGGTGGAATTCTACTTATGAAATGCTTACAGTTGCTTATGATTATCGGGTGCCCATCCAAAAGGTATTTAATATGCATAATGCTTACCCTGTTGATCAAATTGTTGATTCTGATTGGGATGAGATCAGAGAGCTTACTAAATTTTTAGAAAATTTTTATTATGCTACAAAATAATTTTCTGGTATATATTATCCTACTATTACACAAATATTATGGTATATTTGTGGAATTTCTGTTGTATTTGGTAAGTATAAAAAAAATCCAACTTATGCACCAGCCATTAAAGAAATAATTTTAAAATTTAAAAAGTATTTTTTCCCTATTCCCGAAGTTTATTTAATTTCTACACTACTTAACCCATCTTTAAAACTAAGAGGTGCAAAGGGACTTGTTCGTAAAATTTATGAGAATTTAGAAATTCAAGAAAATGAACAACCATCTCTCGAAAACTGCCAAGCTAGCATATATTCTTATGCTAGATCAATGTTTGATAAATATAAATCTATGGATACAACTAGTACTGAAACTGCTCCTTCTACTTCTAAGTCTGGAGCAGAAGTTTTATGGGAAGATATGGATGATATAACAGGTTTTGATTCCTCTATTGATGATGAACTTGATTCTTATCTTAATCAATGATTGGAAAATATTAAAGACGAAGAAGGCAAGGAACAACTTTTGTCATGGTGGAGGGAGCGTGGCAAGGCTTTTCCAACACTTTCAATTATGGCCCGAGATATCCTGGCTATTCAAGCATCATCAGTAGCATCGGAGAGTGCTTTTAGCGCGGCAAGATTTCAAATTGGAGATTATAGACATTCATTAGCGGAGGACAGTCTAGAGATTTCCGTCTTATTCAGAGATTGGATTAATTCAGAAAGAAGAAATCTTGGTTTTGAAAATCTAACCACTAGGGAAGAAGAAGAATACAATGAGATACTTACCACTGGGAGCGATTACGATATGGAGCTCATGGAACATCAATCAACATTGCCAATTCCAGTAGAATGTCCAAGAGATATTATTGATAAGTTACAAAGAAGCTATATAGGAGCTTACAAATATTAGTATGATAATTTGTAATTGGCTACTAAGAGGCCTAGTTCAAACAGAACCCTTCCTAGAAGGTGGCTGCGTAGATTAGGTGCTCTTCAAAAGAATTATATTTGTATTTGAGATTTGAAAGTTCTATTAATAAAATAAAAGGCTCTAAGCGATGAATTATTTTTATGAATTGTCTTAGTTACTTAATAGTTAATACTTTGAAATTATATTAAATAAATTATAACTCTATTATGAATTTATATTTACTAGATTATTTCATTACAAGTCTTTTGTTTTAATATTTTACAATTCTTTACTTAGTTTTCTAATTTTCTTTTTAACATACTAACATAGTAACATTTAAGTTTATTAAATAAGTCAAAAATCTAGCCGTTGCAAACTTTAAAAACATAGTAATTTTCAAAGTTTTTTTATTAAAAAAAATACACTTAAGGCCCACGAACCCGTCCCGTCCCGTCCCGTTCCGTCCCGTCCCATCCCGTCCCATCCCGTTTGTTAGCGGGACGGGATGGGCCGACCGTTTCGTCCCGTTTGTCCCGTCCCGTTTCGTCCCGCCACCGTCCCGCTTAAATGTCGTCCCGTCCCGTCCCGTCCCGTCCCGTTAATTTCGTCCCGTCCCGTCCCGTTGGACAGCCATATACCAAGTCAATGAAAAATAGCCACCGTTTTGCTGCAATAGAGATCGATCCAGCATAATATACTGGAGTTTGGTGCACTTGTGTATGAACTCCAGCATATTATGCTGGACCGATATACTTTGCTGTCTCCAGTATAATATACTGGAGACTGGAGCACTGGTGTTCCAAACTCCAGTATATTATACTGGACCAATATACTTGCTGGAACTCCAGTATATTATGCTAGAGTTCTAGTGTATTTATGCTGGAACTCCATCATATTATGCTGGAGTTCCAGCATACTATCCTGGAACTCCAGTATAATATGCTGGAGTTCAAGTATACTTATGCTGGAACTCCAGCATAATATACTGGAGTATTTTCCGGGTTTTGAACAGTGTTTTCGCTCAGATTTATCTTTACATAAAAAGTGGCTAAATTTCGATTACTTTTAAAATTGAGCTATTTTTGAACGACCAGTTGTAAATCTGACTATTTTTAAATTTCTCCCATAAAATTTATGGGTTTTGAACTTGTATCAAACTCACATCTATAGTAATTAGGTAAGCTAATTAATTAAATATTAATACATATTTTATGAATTTTCTTGTATATCACAGAATCTAAATAAAGCTAATAAATTTCTATTGTGATAGAAGAAAAGGAAAAATGTATTAACTCAGACTTCGACAAACTTTGATATTTGAAAAATAAAGTTATAGTCCCAACTAAACATTTTCTTAGAGCTAAGATTAACATTTGATATGAAATAGGAAAAGGAGAGGCCTACTAATTTCAATTTTCCACAAAATTAATTTGTAGTGTATAATTTATTGTGCACTATAAATTCAGTAAGTAATTGTGAACCAGCAAAAGAGGAAATGTATATTAAATTCATTCCACAAAATATAGTAAAAGGAAAAAAACAGTTAGATACGTGTCGAAATATTGAAAGACATGCAGAACCAAGATACGTGACTATTACAAGGAGACAAAATTAACCTCTTTCCACACTCGAGACTTTCATATTCACACTCAAGTTTTATACCAAAAAGCAATTTTATATCTTTATTATTATTTATATTAGATAAAATAATTTAGTTTAAGAAACCAAAATTTCAAGCAGTAGAAAATTCAGTAAAATACTTATTGCACTTGATGTTTATATTAAACGATATTATTTGACATTAATAAGTAAAAATTAAAGAAAAATGCATAATATTTATCCACAATTAAGTGATACGTGTTGTGTATTAATGTTGTATGTTTCATATTCTTTTGTGTACGCGAACATCGAGTAATAGCCTGTTTGGCCAAGCTTCTTTCTGGCAAAAAGTATTTTTTTTTTGCCAAAAGCACTTTTGGCCGAAAATTAAGGTGTTTGGCCATGCTTTTAGAAGGAAAAAAAGTATTTTTGAGGAGAAGCAGAAAAAAGTAGCTTCTCTCCAAATATACTTTTTGAGAAAAATACACTTATAGCCTGTTTGGCCAAGCTTCTTTTTGGCCAAAAGTGCTTTTTTTTTTGGCCAAAAGCACTTTTGGCCAAAAATTAAGGTGTTTGGCCATTTGGAAGGAAAAAAAGTGCTTTTGAGGAGAAGCAGAAGCAGTTTTGGAGAAGCAGAAAAAAGTAGCTTCTCTCCAAAAGCACTTTTTTGAGAAGCACTTTTGAGAAAAATATACTTAGAAGCAGTTTTTTAAAGCTTGGCCAAATAATAATTGCTGCTCAGAAGTGCTTTTCAAACTAATTAGCCAAACACAAACTGCTTCTCACCAAAAGTACTTTTGAGAAAAGCACTTTTGAAAAAAAGCACTTCTCAAAATAAACTGATTTTTGAAGCTTGGCCAAACCGACTATAAGTCTCTTCCTTGGAAAATTGGATAAAACTAAGCCATGCTAGATATTTAAGCCAAATGAAATAATTTAATCTTAGTAGTTAAAAATTAAAGTGAGAATATTTAACTTTAAAGCGTCTCTCACATACTCCATATATTAGAGTCTCATCTATTTTGACGCAATAGATGTAAAATCAATTATTTCTTTATTATAACGATTCTTTTTTGAAGTGCTTTATATTATTGTGATTATGCATGCATGTCTTGAGTCGAGGATTTATCAAAAACAGTCTATCTACCTACATAAGATATGAGTAAGATTGTGTACTCACCCTTCTCAAATCCCACCTATAAAATTATATTGAATTTATTATTATTATTATTATTGTTGTCGATTCCTTTTAAAAGAAAAGATAATTATGTGGTAATTGACTCATTTTGGATTGTAAAAATAGAAAATCAGATTACTTATCCAAGAAAATAAAAAGGAAAAAGGAGTAATAGTAGTCCTAGCTTTTTTCCCATCTCCCCTATCTATAAATACTCTCACTCCCTTCATTTCTCTTCATCACCCAATTTCCAAACAACAATTCCTCGTACCTTTTCCCTTCTTGCATAGAAAAAAAAAGGAAAAAAAAAAGAAAGAAAACTCTGCTCTCCAATCTTCAATAAAAAACGTAAGAATTCTTTTTCAAACATATCAATACTTGTTAATTCTTTTTTTTTTTTTTGTTAATGTCTAAGATAATTGAGGAGATTTTATATTAATTTGAGTAATATGAAATTGATACTGATAAAGTTCTTGAATTTTGCTGCAGAAAATATTGATGTTTTAATGGAGACTAAAGGTGGTAAGAAGAAATCTTCTTCTAATATTAGCAATAATAATAAAAATATAAATAATAGCCATATCCAATACGAAGCTCCTCTTGGTTATATTATTGAAGACGTTCGTCCCAACGGTGGCATTGAAAAATTCCGTTCTGCTGCTTATTCCAACGTAAGTTTATTTTCCATATTTATAGAATTTACGGTAAAAATTTACTCGCATCCGCTGTTTATACCAACTATTAATACACATAACATGTATTTTCACTTACACTTCTATCACTATACCTTATGTTACTCAGACCTTTTGAAAATGTATTTGGGTGCCGGGTGCGTGTCAGATCCTCCAAAAATAGTAGTATAATTTTGGAGGATCCAACAAAGGCGTACAACATTCTAGAAAGTCCGTACAACATATACTATACCATAGTTAGTTAATATTTGCATTAATATGTTTACATAACTCAAATGAATACATGATATGTGTTTTCGCATACACAACTAACACTAGACCATAATTAATTAAAATACCGTTTTCATCTTGATTTATTATTTAACGGTAAATTAGTATATTTGGTGTAAACACGCGATGCGAATAAATTCTTATTTAGAATCTGCACCATTTTCTGTTTTCTATTTTCTAATTTTATTTTTCACTTTTTTGTGTTTATGCAGTGCGTGAGGAAGCCATCCTGATAATCCCTTTATTCCAATTATTTTCACCAATAATCCGTAACTTTTTAAAATAATTCTCATTTTTAAAAGTTCTGGTTTTCATCTTTTACTACTACTAAAATGGCTAGTGCTACTACTGTTTCTGCTATTTGTTTCGAAGGCTATGAAAAGCGCCTAGAGATCACATTCACCGAGCCACCCATGTTCACTGACCCAAACGGGCTCGGTTGCCGAGCCCTGACTCGGTCACAACTCGACTCGATCCTCGAACCCGCTTGTTGCACCATAGTGGCACACCTCTCCAACACCGAGTTCGATTCGTATGTACTCTCCGAGTCGAGTTTATTTATTTACCCTTTAAAAATCATTCGTATGTACTCTCCGAGTCGAGTTTATTTATTTACCCTTTAAAAATCATTTTAAAAACTTGTGGGACCACAAAATTGCTTTTGTCAATTCCTCAGATTTTAAAACTCGCCGAGTCACTCTCACTCGGTGTTGACTCGGTCAAGTACTCTCGTGGAACTTTTATTTTTCAAAATTCCCAACCTGCCCCTCACCGTAATTTTTCTGAAGAAGTGGCATTTTTGAATATGTTTTTCAAAAACGGCCATGCTTATGTACTCGGCGATCTGAACTCGCCGAGTCGGAACTGGCATGTGTACGTGGCAAATGTGGGCCCACGTAAGTTGACCAATCGGATGGATGGGATTACTCTGGAAATGTGCATGACAGGCTTAAAAAGAGAGAAAACGGCCGTCTTTTTCAAAAAATTGGGAGAGGATTCTTATAAAATGACCAAAATGTCCGGGATAAGTGAAATAATTCCGAGTCATGAGATTTGTGATTTTGAGTTCGAGCCTTGTGGATATTCTATGAATGGGATCGATGGTACAACGTACTCTACGGTGCACGTGACACCAGAGGATGGGTTCAGTTATGCCAGCTATGAAGCCATGGGGTTAGACCTTGGGTTCGTCGGGCTCGAGCCGTTGATCAAGAGGGTGCTAATGTGTTTTGAGCCGGCTGAGTTTAGTGTGGCCATCACGTGCCATGGTGGGTCCCAAGGGGATATTTTTGCTGACGTGGATGGTTACTCGTGTGACAGTTGTGTCAAGCAAGATTTGCCAAGTGGTGGGTACATAGTCTACCGGTGTTTCACCGTGGCGGCCGATGCGGAGAAAGGACGCGCGGTCCGCTCTGCCGCCAACTCTGATTCCAAGGCGGCGGACCACTCCGATTCCAAGATGGTGGCGCATTGCCGGAAGGAATCGGCGGAGGCGGCAACTGCCTTTTGTTGTGTTGGTTCTTGCTTAGCATAGTGTTTACAACCCAATCAGATTTGTTAGTTATGTTTAGGGTTTAATGATTGGCATGTTGTAGCAGCAGTTTGTTAATATTTTCATTTTTAGTTTAATTAGTTCCTTGTGTTTTGGAGTAAATGGACTTGTAGTCCTACTCAATCCAGTCCAGTCCAGTCCAGTCTTCTCTTTGTAGTAGTTATTTGTCTGTGCCTTGATGTGAGGCTACTCAATTAGTGTTTGTTACTGCAAAGACTATGCTTGTTCCCATGAATTAAAATTTGTAACTTTTAAAACGCATGAAGGAGAGCCTTGGAGCAACAGTGAAGTGATATTGTCTTCGTGTGATCTATATATAGGTCACATGTTCGAACCGTGAAAGCAGTCACTAATGCTTGTATTAAGGTAAGTTGTCTACATCACACTCTTTGGGGTGCGGCCCTTCCCCATAAGACCCTACGTGAAAGCAAAATGCCTTGTGTATCGGTGTAATACCTTACATTAAATAAGTTTACTTCTTTCTAATGAAGGAATTTTTGGAGTGGAGGAGAACAAGTTAGGTAATTTAATCCCCCTTTTTTCCCATGGTAATTTGTTTGAGATTTTCCTTACTCAATACCTAGCCTATTATTAGTTATTGATTCTGGAATTAAGGGTAAAGATAACAAAAGATATTTAAGGTGTTTCTATATAGCATAATCATGGAATTCCTATTAGATTGAATAAAGAATCTACCAGTTTATACTAAGCACTTTACTGTACAAGTTAGCAGCGCTTGTAAACTGCTACGTAATGATATGAGTACTGTTTTCGTGTCAAACAAAAGAAATTCTTCTTTGTCCTATATATATAGTAGTATAATTAGATAATAAGAACAGATAAAAAAAAGATATAACTCCTAACCAATTAAGTAATACTAAATTAATTAACAGAGAATCAAAGGTCATATTTCATAGGAATGAAAACAGGAGAATTAATTAAATGTGACACGAATGGACCAATTATGTTGGCAATTCACGAAGTTGATGCAGGATTGATTTTGTAACAATACAGGTAGTTGAAGAAGTTGAACGAGTGCTCCAGGTAACGTGTTTGGTATTTTGACATGAGTAGTGTGAGTAGTAATCTTACCGCAATTTGTGTTTTCATAACCTGCATGGTTTATACATTATTTTGAAAATAAAATGTGTTACCGAATATTTGAAATTGCATATGGGACAAGTCCTTTACTTGATGGTACTGAATAGTTTACTTGAGATGTTTACTGTTATTAAAAATGCTCTCATTGTTACTAGACATGTTTTATTGTTATTTGAGATAGGATCACCATTACCGAAATTTGATTACATGATTTGATAAAAACTGAAGTGCCCCGTACTATTTTGAAAATTCTTTCACGTGAATATTTACTATTTACAAAGAAAAGTATAAATAAGAGGAGACCTTGAAGGATCCGGTAGCCAACGGTGTTCGTCAGACCAGGTGCACCTTGTATTTACAGATTGCCGATTACAGTTATAGCCCTCGCTAGTGGGAAGGTAGAACTAGCATACAGTTACAATTTTCTCTCGAGTAGGGACCTACTATTATATCTGACTCCTTCAACGAAGGGGTCCACATAGTGATATGGATTACATGATCTTTTCTTGGAAACTTCCCAAACATAAAGATTTTGCTATGACACAATGTTGATCGAGTTTATTACCGGTCTGTTAAATTGATTTCTGTTACAGGAAACACATGAATTGACTTATTATATTTACCGTTTTAGAAAGGGGATTTTTTTGATATACTAGCATGTTTTTTGACTTGTCACCAATTAAAAACGGTTGTGGTTAAGTGTTATTACTCACTGAACTAGCGACTCAGTTCCGCTATTTTTTTTAACAGAGACAACATGTAACACAAATGAGTATTTCGAGTGTTAGAGTGTACGAGTTGAAAATTCCAGGTGAGCCCCACATTTATTCGCGTGGGCGAAGATTTTTTATTTATTTGTTATAGCTCATTTATTTGAAACTCTTAGAGTCTCTCCATAGTCATTTTCATTAGTATCATGAGTATTCTGTTATTGATATAGACTTATGACTCGTATTAGATTTTCTTGTCGTATTTTTGAAAATGGTTTTAGTATTATTGTGTTGGAAATACTTCGTTGATGAGGATTATAATTCGTTTTGGTGGATATTGGTTGATTATGTTGTTGATGCTAAGCCAAGTTTATGTTGGATTGTCCTAAAATAGGAGAAACTCTATCCGATTTTCTGTAAAATACCAGTGAGACTTACTTGGGGGTACTTGCTCCTAAGCGCCGGTCATGATCCTAAATTGGATCTTGACAATCGGACCGGCCTTTAAAACGCAACCACTACCCAAAACACGCCTACTTTTAGAAATTGATAGCAAAACGATATCTATATTCAAAATAAGATACCTTCATCAACAAAGATGTTTAAAATTCTTGATCAAAAGGAGATAAATAATCCAGGCGATTCAAAGCGACTATTTGGAAAAAATAATATACAAGGTTTATAGTGAATGTTATATATAATACAGAATAAAATATCCAAGTAATACTAGTGAACTATAGTGAGAGAAGCTCCAACTTCTCTCTAGCTACCAAAAGAAACTCCTTCTACCCTCAAACTAACCCCATCTACTCCCCCCATGGAAACCGATGACACTGCCATAGAGATGGACATATCTACTATCCCACCTAAACCACCGGTCGTGGATAGTGTGAAGGCCGTGCAAAGGCTAACAGGACGAATAGCTGCCTTGGGTCGATTCATTTTGAGGTCATCAGATCGAAGTCACCGTTCTTTTCCTTGCTTAAAAAGAAGAATGATTTCGCGTGGACCCTGAAATGCCAGCAAGCCTCGAAGAATTGAAACAATACTTATCGAGCCCGCCTTTTCTTCACACCCCGAAGGTAGATGAAAAACTTTACCTATACTTGACAGTATCTGAGATAGCGGTAAGTGGAGTACTAGTTCGAGAAGAGCAAGGTACGCAATTTCCTGTTTATTATGTAAGCCGAACCCTAGGAGATGCTGAAACTAGATATTCTCGCTTAGAAAAATTAGCACTTGCATTGATAAGCGCATCTAGAAAGCTAAAACCATATTTTCAATGTCATCCCATATGTTTATTAACAACTTACCCCTTTCAAAATGTTTTGCATAAGCCCGAGCTATTGGGCCGGTTGGCCAAATGGGCCGTCGAACTTAGCAGGTACGATATCGAGTATCAACCCCGAACGGCCATCAAGATGCAAATCCTAGCTGACTTCGTGGCCGATTTTACGCCGACCCTCGTACCCGAAGTGGAGAAAGAACTCCTGCTAAGATCGGGTACATCATCGGGGGTATGGACCCTTTTCACGAACGGTGCCTCAAATGTGAAAGGGTCCAGGCTTGGCATTGTCTTAAAGCCACCTAAGGGTGACACCATTAGACAATCTATCAAAACTTCTAGGTTGACTAATAATGAGGCCGAGTATGAGGCCATAATTGCAGGTCTCGAGCTAGCTAAGAGCTTGGGAGCAGAAGTCATTGAAGCCAAGTGCGATTCACTGTTGGTGGTAAACCAAGTAAACAAGAGTTTTGAGGTTCGAGAGGACAGGATGCAACTGTACTTGGATAAACTACAGGTAACTCTGCACCGCTTCAAGGAGTGGACTATGGATCACGTGCCTCGAGAATAAAATAGTGAGGCCGATGCACTTGCTAACCTGGGATCCTCGGTTGAAGAAGATGATATCATCCCGGGGATTGTTGTCCAATTATCGAGGTATGTGGCTGAAGAGGGTCATGCCGAGATAAATTCTACAAGCCTGACTTGGGATTAGAGGAATAAGTACATCGATTATTTGAAAAAGGGAAAACTCCCATCCGACCACAAAGGATCGAGGGCCCTACGAACCAAGGCTGCTAGGTTCGCATTAAATGAAGATGGAACATTGTACAGGAGAACGTTCGATGGACCATTAGCGGTATGTTTAGGGCCGGGGGACACCGATTACGTTCTACGAGAAATCGACGAAGGTACTTGTGGGAATCACCCCAGCACCGAGTCTTTAATTCGCAAAGTTATCAGAGCAGGGTATTACTGGGACAGTATGGAGAAAGATACTAAGGAGTTTGTCAAAAAATGTGATAAGTGCTAATAAGGTTCCGATCCGTCGTACCTTCAAAAAAACCCAACGGGTACAAAAAACACATGCTAAGGCATAGATAAATTTTCACTAAGTCTTTTAGCCGAAAAGAGGAAAAAATTATAGCCTCTTTAGAGGCCGAATTGGCCCAACTTAAAGAGCCTAAGGGACGACCTAAAAGAGCCTAAGGGCCAATATAAAAGAGCCTAAGGGTCGATATAAAAGAGCCTAAGGGCCAAAACATATAGGGTTCGAGACATTGCTCTCACTCAAACGGACTTAAGAGTCCCACCATCCCGAGCTCGCGTCAAATCAACTTAAGCTTAGCTCGAGGATTAATAAAAACATTAAGAGGAATTGTACTATAAAGATCACCCATTGATCAATAAAAAACCTAAAGGTTTATTATATTCTGAGTTCAGGCCAATACTCGGACTGATCATTAATGTTATAACATCAAATGAAGACGAGACGGAATTATCGAAGATGAAGCAAAGAAATCCTTATATATTAATAAGAGGTGCTTACAAGAGATATTTTACAATACCCACGAGGGGTCCTTGCAAAAAAACACAAAAACAAAATAAAGAAACCTAAATCTACTTCGGGGCCACATCTTCGGCAGCTGTATCTTCGGGAGTCGCGTCTTCGGGAACCTTCTCCTCGGGGACTTCATCTTCGTCTCCTCCGCTCTCAGAGCCACTAGCTGAATCCTAGTCATCAGAAATCAAAGCGGCAGCCTCTTCTTCCAAAGTCTTTGCTTTTTCAATTTCGGCTGAGAGGTCGAAGCCGTGAGCATGCACCTCCTCGAGGGTTTCTCTCCGGAACTGTCGCCTGGCATGGTCGAGTGCACATGATTGCTTAACTTCGGCTGCAGCAGAGATCTCCTTTGCCCGGGTGTTAGCTACTTCAGCGTCATCTCGGTACGAAGATATAAATGCCTCTTCGTCAGATTTGGCCTTGGCAAGCTCAACAACAGATTTAGCTTCGAGCTCCTCGATTCTGCAGCTTCGAGCCAGGCGTTCCTCCTTTACACTCTGAAGCTGGCGTTCAATTGAAGCCAACTGCTCCCGAAGAGTATCATTTCCGAGGCGAGACGGTCCATGCCTTGTCTCCACCCTAGGGTCTCGGCCTCCTTCATCTTGAGCTCCTTCCGGTGCTGCTCCACCAGCTCGCCCTTTTGTTGAGCCTGCAAACTTGAAGTGTTAGCCGACCGATCGAACAAATGCATAACAAAACTTCAAAGGGTATATTACCTTTTCGACAAGCTCGGTCTCTTCTTGACGAGCGTTCGACAGTTCGGCTCGAAGATCGCTGATCTTCCCCTCCTTTATAACATAGAGGATCTTAAGGCCGCCCCTCTCTTCTG